TATATTTCTACTAAGAAACGACAATTCTTCTTTAGCCTAACAATTTTTATTTTCGAGAAATATTTGATATTTTCTAATTCTTTAATATCAAATTCTTTAGTTAAAACATTTTCTAGTCTGAGTATCTCTTATAAATAAAAAATATTTATCATCTACATGTACGATGAGGATTACTTTTTTTTTTCTTCTGAAGGATCATACGTGACAAACATAGTATGATTTGTTTGGTATTGATTATTTCTAAACCTATTGATTACCTTAGTGAATTTGACAAACCATACTCTTGGAGATTGTTTGAGACCATATAGGAACTTTTTGAATCTACAAACCTTTTTGTTAGATGCCTTCCTCCAGTCCTCCATTAAGAAATAGTGATCAATCCAAATTGGTATATAGGCATATTAGTATCCGGACTATGTTTAACTTCGCTACTGGCATAAATATCTCCCAATAATCAATCCCACAAAATTGAGTGAAGTTTTTAACGACTAATCAAGCTTTGAACCTGTTGATACTACTATTAGTGTTATGAACATCTATTTATAGTTTGCCTGGGTATTTCTCAGGTGGTAATTATGTTATTTCTCAAGTCTCATTCTTTTATAAAACTTGGATTTCCTCTTTGGCGACTAATCAAACTTCTCTTTATTATTGTTATGCAAGTCCTTAGTAAGCTTTTGTCAAGAGCTACTGATTTGAAACTTATTGAAGGTACATCTCTTGGATGTGGGAATGAGAAAATTGAAATCATACATCTCTTTTTTGCCGACGATTCCCTAATTTTCTAAAAGCCAAAAACCAAGTACCTTCTCAATCTGAGATGCGTTCTCCTCTGTTTCCAGACTGCATCAGGTCTCAAAATTAATCTCCTAAAATCAGAAATGGTTGGCATTTGAAACGGGAGAAACGGTGAATTGTCTTGTTAAGGTTCTGGGCTGCCATGCTAAAAGTCTTCCTATCAAATATCTTGGTTTTCGTTGGGCCAAAAATTTAAAGACAGCAAAGCGTGGGAGCCAATTATTAATCTTTTTGACAGAAGGCTTGCCAGCTGGAAGAGGGATTTCCTTTCTAAGGGGGCAGATTGACACTGGTTAAGAGTACACTCTCCAACCTCCCAATTTACTACTTATCCGTACTCACCATTCCTGCTCAGGTGGCAAGGTAAATAGAATCTGTTTAGAACAGATTTTTGTGGGTGATATCGAGAATAAAAGAAAGTTTCATCTTGTGAACTGGGATGAGGTAAAGCTTTCGATGCAAATGGGTGGACTTGGGATTAGATCAATCATCAAAATGAACAAACCTCTTCAAGAGAAATGGATCTGGAGATTCTTCAGTGAGGATGACAGTTTGTGGAAGAGAATCATTAATCTTAAATGGATGAGAAGAGACAATGAGGGTTGCCTCAAACTGCCCAGCAGACCTCATGGTATCAGTGTTTGGAAGAGCATCATGAATATTTTCAATGCCTTGAGTGTTAATACTTATTGGGAAGTCAGAGGCAGGGATAGAATTAATTTCTGGCAAGATACTTGGCGCAGTGAAACAACCCTGAAAACCAGATTCAATAAATTTATTTGCTATTGCTCGGAAAAAAAAAATTCCTGTATGTGAAGCCTTTTGTAATCTGGCCATTGTTCAGTGGTTGTTAGCAAACATCTTAATGAGTGGTTGGCTGAATACGAGAATTTCTCGCAAAGGATGTGAATGTCCACTTGATGGATAAGGAAGATACAATCAGATGGAAATGGCAGATTTACTGTCAGTTCTCTTTACGTGTATCTCACCTTTGGAAATGGCCTGAACAGCACCACTTTCCCCTTCATAATCATATGGAAGGCTAATGCCCCACCTTGGATCGCTTATTTTGCTTGAAGTGCATATTAACTATTGATAATGTGATGAGAGGAAGAATCATGGTCAATAGATGTTTTCTCTGTAAAAGTGATGCCAAGAGCTGCAATCACATTTTACTTTGGTGCCTCTTCTCAGTCAAATTATGATCATTTGTCTACAGCTTGATGGGTATTAATTGGGTAATTGCTGGTTCTATTGGGAGGGCCTTGGCGCAGAACAACCAAGCTGCACGTCTTATCTCATTAACAATCTTTTGGGCTCTTTGGAAAGAAATAACAGGGCGTTTGAGGAAAGGGAAGACACATTTTTTAAATATTAAAGATAGATAGCTGCATTCTTTTGACTCATCTTTTTTGGAACATAACTTACACACTCTTAAAAACATTGGAGTAATTGTAGATATGCTCATTGAAATGTAAAGTCATTTTTTGTACATGCATCGTACCCCCTTGGTGCATCTCTTTTTAATGCATTTCTCTTTTTTATTTCAGATAAAAAAAAAAAATTCCAGTCCTGTTTAAGGGGGAAACTACAATTGATTGGTCATTTAAAATATCTTTGTGGAGAAGTATCTTAGGTTCTCTAACTGGGGATCAGGTCACAGGTCTATTCAAGGAAAAATCCTCCAGCAAAACATGAAGGTTTACTTGTTGGATGAGTGGCCTTGGTGGCATATAACTAGGTTCGTGATAGAGAAGTCTATAATCTCTTACAAAATTCTCTAGAACTAGCAACAATTGTTAGATGCTTTATACGTTAGTAGAATAGGTATTTATAAGACACATTGTTCCTGTGATTTAGGAAATAATCAAGTAAATATAATTTAGGAAATAATCCAAAACCAACATCCTAATTTAAGATAAGGAAAACTTTATGCTAGGAGGAATTCTAAAATGAATTCCATTAGCACATTGACTAGCCTAAATGCTTATTAGAAGAAGCCAAGATATCCAGAAGCAGAAGCTGAAGTTGGTGGTTTTCCCAGTGCCTGCAGCTTCCAATCTCACTGGGACTTCTCTTAAACCCCCCCGTATACTAGGGCTCTTAAAACACAAAATGCAGACGGGGGAGGGGTGGATTCACAAAAGTCAGATCCACTTTCAATTATGCAACTGAATTAAAATTTGGGAAAAAAATCATTGCCTCACCATAGTCTGCAATCAGCAGGTTGGTCACAAGAAACCAACTGATCCATATTGAAGAATAATTTCTGCCAAACAAAAAGGAAGGAGCATCAGACTCTGGAAAAGAGTTTCAAATAACAAAGCAATCATTCTCTGTTGAAGGAAAAAATTTGTATTTCAAATTTCTTACAGCCCTTTCGTGGCTTGCTATTTGGTTTAACAAATAGCATCAAGCTTAAATGTCCTCAGTGTCTGCCTTATTCAATTACTTTCAAGTCCAAAATATGTTTATATAGAATTGTAACTGAAACTTGGCATTCCTTGGAAAAATCTTTACCATTACAAAATAATAATTAATGACAGTTCAAACATATGCTTTTTCACTTAAGCCACACTTACCATCAGCATGGTGGAACTGACAACAGATGTATTACCAGCTTGTTGTTCGAGGTAAGCTGCCTGCAGCATAAGGCCATTTCAGTAAAAAGCATTTATATGACTAAAAGCATGAGTCGGAATCACAATGAAGAAAACCACAAACATGAATTGGAAGAAAAGTCCCAAGTAAGTTGAATCTTCGAAGCAAATTGATAGAAGGTGCAGCAGCTCCATAAGAAAGCATATAGTTCAACTCCATCATTATCCTGAACTAAAAACAAACAGAACTTGTTTTGGTAAGAGCCTGGCAAAAGATGATCGATCTAATTCTTCTACTCCACAATAAGAAGCATCCACCAATATATACAGTATGAACATGAAAGGTGCAATTTTTGCAACAAAGCATGCTATGGAGAAAGAGACAACAACAAAAGGGTAGGAAAATCCTCCCATGATCTATATTGGGAGGGGAATGCAAAGATAAAAAGCAAAGGTACCCAACAACCTAAAACAACAAACACCAGTCAGCTAGGCGATAGTACCTGGCCCAAACTCTCAATCGAAGATGAAAGATCATGTATTGCAGACTCAATATCCTTCGAGAGTGACAAACCCAGACGAGCTGCAATCCTTAAGCCTCGCAGAATCCTTGCTTCATGACCATAATTTCACACAAAGTGTTAAGTTATGTGTGATGTTAAATTTATCCACTCTATCAAATACCATGGGCTTACCGTGACATGTGAAAAAAAAAAAAGCCCATGGGCTCACTGTAACAGAAAAAAAAAACGTACACACACGCACACACATACAAGCACCTACCACAGTCCTCTTTGAATGAAAAATGAGCAGGTACTAGTGTCTGGAGCTGAAACCATATCATCAAACAACAGGTCAAAACAAGAAAAGCAGCAGTTATCTTCAAGCAGCAAGGAGAATCATACAAGCTAAGGGAGAAACCTTTAAAGACTTTATGTCTGCCATCCCATTGGTGTAGTCATAGATTTTATTCGAAAAGGGATCAAAGAATAAACTGCTTCGAAAAACACAATCCTCAACCAAGTTAGAGGCATTGGAAGAAGTTTGGGATCAGATTTAAGAATAAACATAGAGATAAACGTGCTTCTGTTAGAAGAAGCAAATAAAGAAAAAAAATATGGGAGATACAAATACATATAAATAATACCTATTAATTGTGAAGTCCCTGTGCATGCTGTTCTTCCAGCGGATGAAGTCTTTTTTATCACAGCCTCTAGGCAGTTGAGATAAAAGAACATTGTCTTTTCTTTTGGTATTCTGCGCCACTGTATCAAAACTGGATACCTATCATGAAAGAGTTGCGAAAAAAGAGAACCGTATTCTTAATTCAAGAGAGGATAGTTGGTCCATCAATTTGGACAATTCTTCCATTGGTAATCACACAAATAACAAGAAACAAATAATAAATTCCACAAACTCACCTCAACTACAGAACCCTTTATTCTTACTCTGCATATAGGAAATCGTCTTCCCACAATGAGAGACTGATGAAACTGCTTCTTGATCTATGACAAAATTACATTAAAACCA